GGGGGGGAGGGGAGTTGAAGGGGTTGGGTATCATGTGTGTGGTCATGCCATGCCACAGTTGGAAAAGTGAAATATGTCCGGAACCTTAATAGAAATACCTCAATTTCTGATGCAACAAACAGCCCTAACAAGTCATGCAAGACTCACACAATATCTGATTATACCATTCATGCTGTTTGTCAGTTTCTTTATAGTAGAGATCAAAGGTGGCGTAGAGTAGTCCTATACCTCTCACTTAGACTGGGTTCTCAGTTTGTTAGATCTGCCTTGAATAGAGGGTTTTTATTTTGGGGTGCATCTTACTTCATAGCTGCAAAATTATAACAATAATATTAAAGCATTGGTCATTAGCTTCTCTTGTTAGATCAACCATCATAGCAGCTGTTTCATTTTTTTCTATATCTCAAGTAGGGGTGAAAATAAAAGCAGACATCAGACAATGTCTGCCCAGAATTGGAACTTGTCTGGTCAAATTTTTGTCTTGCCAGTCATTTTGAGCAGTAATGTTGAGCCAAAATTGAGGTATGACTGAGCTAAACTAATTTGACCCATCATCATGACCGGCGACTCACTGGCTGTAATTTCAAGCCTTATCAAGGGATTTTAAGTCCTGATTTCACTCCAAGAATCCTAGTTCAATCCTCTGGTTTTCCTCCCTCTGCAAAACTTGACAGGCTCAAAATCCAATTCAATGTCTGTGAGTTAACTGTGCCCTAAGACAGTTTCAGGGTATTGATATGGTTTTTAATGTTGTTACTTGTGTTTTAGATCCCTATGTTATCACAAGTGATGGTCGTGTATATGGTACCATGTATATGAAAATGAAAAGCTATTGATCTCAAAATCCAATTTAATATCTGTGAGTTAACTGTGCCCTAAGACAGTTTCGGGGTACTGATAAAAATTAAACTTAATGGTTTTTAATGTTGTTACTTGTGTTTTAGATCACTATGTTACCACAAGTGACGGTCGTGTCTATGAATATGAAAAGCTATTGATCTCTACTGGAGGGAGTCCAAGATTAATAGATGACAGTAATCCACACGTGATTGGAATCAGAGACACACACAGTGTGCAGTACTTCAAGACTAGATTAGCTGATGCAAGGAGAGTAGCTGTTATTGGAAATGGAGGAATAGCAATGGAATTAGTGTGAGCTAGATATTCATAATTATTATAAAACATTTTGTCTTATTGTCATGATATTGCTTCTTGATAATAATATGTATTTACAAGGATAGAAAGATGTCTCTAAAAAAGGTTTTCAAAATAAATCGTTTTTGATTATGAAATTGAAAATGAAAAGGCTTTATACTGTAGGCATTAGCCACTTACTTTGGTTCACTGACAATTTGACATCATAGAAATCATCAAGCTAAGGGCAAGGGCAGATCCAGGACAGTGAATAGACCTAATTTCTCTTGGTGTACTATGTTTTACCATTACAGACCCAGTCATCCCCAAGAGTTACTATCATTTCTTCGTTTAACAGTTGCTACAAAGAATTCTTTTGGGAATGACACATAGCCACATGGAAATGGGAAAATATTAGGTCTTTTGAGTTACTAGCCACCCTCTTTTAATCAAGGAATGTAGTAAAATCTCATACAGAAATATAGAAGCTGCACCCTTTTGAAATCATCATGGATCTGTAAATAATTTAATCTAGGAATAAAGAAGAACAGGCAGTAAATGAGATGATTTTATTTCAGGTTTGAGTTAACTGGTCATGAAGTACTTTGGGCAATAAAACATGATTCTATTGGAAACCATTACTTTGACAAAGGAGCTGCAAGTTTTCTGTTGTCTCACTTGGAATCAACCAACACACCCCGCCCAAAGGAACCAGTAATAAAAAGAATGAAATATGGTCGAATAGTAGGAAAAGAATTATCACCTGCTTCCTTGGAAGGTATTTTGAAAAGAATTCTTAGCAGTTTTTCATCTTTGAATTGTTTGTAATTGACAGCCTAATGTTTTGTGCCCATTTAAAGTTTATTGGATCCTGAAACAACCTCAAGGCCTAGGGAGGTGCCTTGCATGGGACTCTAGGTCCCTTTCGCACCAACCCTCTTGGTCCTTCTTTCTTGTATTATTCATATTATTATTAATTTTTTTCTTTTCTCTTATTTCTCTTTAGTTTGTTTACTATTATTGTTTGCTATTGTTGAGAAATTTTGAAGGCGAATAAAGTTGTTTAAAAAAAATGATTGTGACCTTTCACCAGTTATTGGATTTACATCACCCATAACTAGTACATTTCAAGCTTGGTATGCAACATAAAATAAAACATATTTTTTGAAATATCTGTACCTTTAGTATTATGCTAAACATCAAGTTTTTTGAAATTCTTTTTGTATCTTACAGATAAATCATTATCTGAAGGTGGAGTCATTGGAGGAGCACTGGGTCCAGACTGGAGCCAAGGCCTCTCTCTCCATTCTGATTCAACAGAAGATTCCTATAGGAATATTCACATAGAATACAAATGCGAGGTTGAAAAGATTCTAACACCACAAAATTTGCTGGACCAAAATTTTGAAGAAACTCCCTTCCCAAGAAATAAGTGTCTGTATGAAGAATCTACACAATGGCCTGTGTATGTAAAACTAACTAATGGCAAAATCTATGGCTGTGACGTCGTCGTATCAGCAACTGGTGTCACAACCAATACTGCTCCTTTCATATCTAATGCCCCGTTTGATATAGCCACTGATGGTGGTATCAAAGTAGATGATAACATGAGATCTAGTATCCCAGATGTTTACGCTGCAGGTGATGTCTGCACTACATCTTGGGAACCTTCTAAACTCTGGTTCCAAATGCGGCTTTGGACTCAAGCTCGACCAATGGGAGCCTTTGCTGCTCATTGCATGAGTGATAACTTAAAAGGTCAACAGGTACCTCTAGATTTCTGTTTCGAACTCTTTACTCACGTGACGAAGTTTTTTGGTTTCAAAGTGGTGTTACTTGGGAAATACAATGCACAGGGACTTGGAAATGATTACCAATTGCTTTTTCGGTGCACTAAAGGAGTGGAATTTGTGAAGGTAGTGATGCAGAATGGAAGGATGGTTGGTGCTGTTTTGATTGGGGAAACCGGTCTGGAAGAAACGTTTGAAAATTTGATCCTAAACGAAATAGACCTTAGTGGTTTTGAGGATAGTTTACTGGATTCTAGGGTGGATATTGAGGATTTTTTTGACTGACCATCAATTAATTATAAAAGTTTGCAGTGTTGATAATAATATACAACAATGTTATTTGAATCTCAGGCCACCAAAGTCTTTACTAAATCTCTCTACCTTGGTTGCAATGTTACAATGTTTTCCCATCTTATATCATGTCTCATTCTCTTGAGAATAAGATTCTTTGTCAGATTTGTATCCATTATCAGGTGTCTTCTCTCACATCTCTCCTATTCTCATACACAACTGTTAATAAAGAAAGTAATGATTGTCCATGAAATGGTATGGTATTCGAAAAGATTATACCCAAAGTAAAATGGTCTACAAAGCTTTTCGCTGTCGTATCACAGCGTGGGACAATCACAACAGAGCTAGGCTTCAAACTAGGTGAAAGCCCAAAGATCGAATTAGAATTTAGAAGTTGATTTTTGAGGAGGGAGAAAAACCAGAGAACCCGGAGAAAAACCCTCGAAGCACAGGAGAGAACCAACAAACAACTCTACTCACATACGACACCGAGATCGGCAGGACTCGAACTCGGGCCGCATTGGTGAGAGGTGGCGCATTAACAGCGCAAGCCACCAGTGCTTCCCTCAGCTTCTCTAGAACTTAACCCTAAATCTGTTTAAAATAAACCTTTTTTGGAATGAATAAAGAATACTTTTTTGCCTTCTTCCTTTCCAGTTTGCCTGATATTGAACACAATAATCAAGTTTTATCCAATGTCTGCTGCATTTTGTATATCTCTGCTGTAATGCAAATGTGGAAGATGGACTATTTTGCATTTCAAGTCTAAGGTACCATTTGAAATTGCCTGTATTCGATCTTGAAATTTGAATCAAGCCCAAGGCTGAACTGTATTTGCCATTAGCATAACTAAGCTGTCTCATTGTGTTAGCTGATATTGAGAATGAGGAAGATCGTACCGCATGTACCGGACACCTATTTTATTCTTTGTTAGCTTCGTTCTTTCGTACGACTTGGCGTCTTTTGTTTTTTTCTATTGAATTTCGTGGACTGTGAACGTTACCTTCAGAAGAAGCCGCACTGACTTTTCAGATATTGAGTGACCTTGTTCACGTCACCTATACCTTTTCATTCCAAAGGTCAAACGGCTTGAGCCGTTCCGTACTTGACTTCCATATGTGGAACTTTTAAAAGGTGGATTTGCATCGCGCGGTCGCGTTGTTGTTGTTGGTACAAACAGAGTCAAGTACGGAACGCTTCCAACCGTTAGACCTTTGGAATGAAAACGTCTGCATTCTGACAGCGAACGAAGGAACACGGACACAAGATAAGTCAAACAAGTATAACGTTAATTAAATTCAAATAATCGAAAGGGAAAATCTATAGAAATCCAACCACATTCGGTGTCCTAGTGCGGCTTTTTCTGCGCGTAGAAGAGCACAGAACACGTCATCGGAATGGAATTTATCGTATCAACAACCTTTATGCTCTTTTCCCTTTTTCGGCGACTTCCCGCACATTGATCTCGCTAGTTATTGCGGCTTTGCCTTTATCACTGATTGCCCTGCCCACCATTGCCTCACAGCCTCACGACCTCACAGCCTCATTGCCTCACGACCTCATTGCCTCGCAGCCTCACAGCCTCATTGCCTCACGACCTCACAGCCTCACGACCTCACAGCTTCATTGCCTCACTTCCTCACAGCCTCATGACCTCACGACCTCACAGCCTCATTGCCTCACGACCTCGCAACCTCATTGCCTCACGACCTCACAGCCTCACGACCTCATTGCCTCGCAGCCTCACGACCTCACAGCTTCATTGCCTCACTTCCTCACAGCCTCACAACCTCACGACGAAATCCTTGGTCTACCTGTGCTTTTTCGAAGTGGTGTCCCTGTGTAGACTCTTGGAAATTCCAAATTCCTATGTGGGGGGGGGGGGGGGGGGGGGGGGGGGGGGGGATGGATAAGTTTTGGAACTGCACTCTTAACTTAGTGGTGCATGCATAACACTCAGTAGAGCTTTAGTGTCAACCTTACAAATATCTAAATGTACACTAGTTTTTAGTTAGTTATCTCTACATTTATATTTACTTGATTTCTCTTCTATACTTTAGTACCAAAAAAATAATTAAAGAGCTCTGGACCTCTTGGCTGGTAAATAACTGCCTGCCTGCATATACTGTACTGTATATCTGTTACAAGTTTTGACTCTCTTAATTAGGAATGAATA